GCGTTTTTGAACGAATCTCTTGAATGAATGATTCAATGACTCACTTATAAATACTTCACTTGTTTCATTACTGGATGATCAGCATTTTTGAACGAATCTCTTGAATGAATGATTCAATGACTCACTCATAAATACTTCACTTGTTTCATTACTGGATGATCAGCGTTTTTGAACGAATCTCTTGAATGAATGATTCAATGACTCACTCATTCATACTTCACTTGTTTCATTACTGGATGAATCAGCATTTTTGAACGAATCTCTTGAATGAATGATTCAATGACACACTCATAAATACTTCACTTGTGTGTTTGAATCGAGATCGCGATCTTTTAATGATTAATCATGGAGCTCTACTTGCGGCTCACCTGTACGAGTTATTGTTGGAATGCTCTGCCAGTGGAGAGTCGGAATCAAAGGAATCTCCTTCATCCTCATCTTCCTCATCCTCCTCTTCCTCACTGCCTTGGCTCTCCTCAGAGTCGTACTCCACTCGGCTGGCAGACGGAGGCAGGTACGGCTTCACGCAGGACAAACGAATGAGTTCACAAACACAACAGTGCCAAATTACTGCAAGCTGAAGAATAAAAGAAAACCTTTGCGATGAAATAATCCCAGATGCTGAGCTCAGGCGGCACAAAACGCTCTTTACAGATGGATGTTTCTGGCTCCATCACCACGGGTCTGGGACTGACCGGACTGTCGGGAACCTCTCTGGAGTTACTGCGTGATGAGCTCAGCCGGGAACGCCGCTGCTTCCGCTCCACACCTTCCACTAACGAGGAGCAAATAGTGAGCAAGATGTCACTGGAGCTTAACGCTGCATAATCGTAACGCAATAATCAAGGGTTTACCAAAAGGGGTTTTATACTGATAAAAAGCTAATAATTTATAAAAATGTCAAATTAAAATAAATAAATTATTTTAAAATAAAAACAAATCAAAATAAAATATTTACTAAAAATTAATGAAATCATAAAAGCAGGGCTGCTCGATTATGGCAAAAATCATAATCACGGTTATTTTGGGCAATATTGTAATCCCGATTATTTAACACGATTATGACACGTGATGTATATTAAATATATATTTTCTGTAAATAAGGTTGCTATGAC